GTAGTCTTCTGGGCCTTGCTTTGTAATCCAGTATTATGCTTCTAGAATTCATCTATGTTATTGCATATAGTTTCAGTTCCTTCATTTTTACCATTTTATGATATCAATTATGTGACTGTATCACAGTTTTATATCTTTTTCTTTCACTGGGTGACTTTCAGTGTTCTGATACTATAAAGAAGACTGCTATAAACACATTGCCTATCTTACAGTCATCGGGTACTTATGAACAAGAGTTTCTCTGGGGTGTATACCCAGGAGTAAAATCTCTGGGTTGTAGAGTACGCAGTGCTCAACTTTGGGAGATGAAGCTAAACAGAGCACCAAAGTGGTTGTGCTAGTCTACACTCCCAAAAGCAGTGTGGGGGAATAGCCTCACTAGCACTTGATATGGTCTGACTTCCTAATTTTTGCCAATCGATTGCACATTAAATTTTTTGTTATTTCTTTGATTGCTAATGAAGTTAAACATCTTTTCATATATTTAGCCATTCCCAATCTGTGAAGTGTATGATCATATCAGTTTTCCTCCTGTCTTGCTAGTTGTGTGTTTTTATTATTAGTTTGTAGGGGTTTCTTGATGGATTTTGGAGTTTCCTTGACAACTTTTTGTCAAGGAAAGAGTCTGTGTTACATATATTTTCTCTCAGCTCATGGCTAGTTTTTTTCTTTTCTGTTCTGTGATTTATTTTGATGAACACATATTCTTTATTTTAATGTAGTTAATTTTTATCATATATTTTTTCTTTTAGGATTAGTGATTCTGTGTTTTACGTAAAAAGCCTTCCTTAAACAAAGGTCAGAAAAATATTCTCCTGTGTTTTCAACTAAATGCTTTGCTTTTCACATTGAATTTCTTGACCTACCTAGGATTAGTTTCCATGTTTCCCCTTTATGGATAATGAGTTGTCATGGTACCACTTATTGAAGACTCCCACCTTTCTCTGCTGACCTGCAGTATATGTATCTCATATATCAATGTTTCATAAGTTCAGGCATACCTTAAAGATACTGCAGGTTTGGTTCCAGATCACCACAATAAAGGGAATATCCCAATAAAGTGAGTCAAATGAATTTATTGATTTTCTAGTGCACACAAAAGTTATGTGTACACTATGCTGTAGTCTATTAAGTGTGCAATAGCATTATGTCTAAAAAAACCAATGTACATACCCTAACTTAAAAATACTGCTAAAAACACATACCAACCATCATCTGAGCTTTCAGCAAGTCATAATCTTTTTGCTGGTGGAGGGTTTTCCTTTGATGTTGATGGTTGCTGACTGATCAGGGTGATAGTTGCTGAAGACTGGGGTGTGGGGGCAGTTTCTTAACATAAGACAACAATGAAGTGTGCCACATAGATTGACTCTGCCTTTCACAAATGATTTCTCTTAGCATACCATGCTGTTTGATGGCATTTTCCCCATAGTAGAACTTCTTTCAAAATTGGAGTTGATCTTCTCAAACCCTGCCACTGCTTTACAACTAAGTTTGTGTGATATTCTAAATCCTTCGTTGTCATTTCAACAATCTTCATAGTCTCTTCACCAGGAGTAGATTCCATCTCAGGAAACTACTTTCTTTGTTCATCCATAAGAAGCAACTCCTCATCTGTGAAAGTTTTATCATGAGATTGCATAATTCAGTCCCATCTTCAGACTCCACTTCTAATTCTTGTTCTCTTGCTGTTTCCACCACATCTGCAGGTACTTCCTCCACTGAAGTCTTGAACCCCTCAAAGTCAGGGTTTCAACCAACTTCTTCCAAACTCCTGTTCATGTTGATATTTTGATCTCCTCCCATGAATCACAAATGTTCTTAGTGGCATCTAGAATGGTGAATCCTTTTCAGAAGGTTTTCAATTTATTTCACCCAGATCTATCAGAGGAATCGCTATCTGTGGCAGCTACAACCTTACAAAAATGTATTTCTTAAGTAATAAGACTTGAAAGTCTGAATTACTCCCCAGTCCATGAGCTTCAGAATGGATGTAGTGTTAGCAAGCATGAAAACACATTGATCTCATTGTACATCTCCATGAGATTTCTTTACAGACCAGGGGCATTATCAATGAGTAGTAATATTTTAAAAGTTATTGTTTTTTTTCTAAGCAGTAGGTTTTAACAGTAGGTTTAAACTATTCAGTAAACCATGTTATAAACAGATGTGCTGTCACCCAGACTTTGTTGTTCCATTTATAGAGCATATAGTAGATTTAGCGTAATTCTTAAGGGCCCTAGGATTTTCAGAATGGTAATGAGCATTGGCTCCAACTGTAAGTCACCAGCTGTATTAGTCCCTAACAAGAGAGTCAGCCTGTCCTTTGAAGCTGTGAAGCGAGGCATTGACTTCTCCTCTCCAGCTGTGAAAGTCCCAGATGGCATCTTCTTTCAATAGAAGGCTGTTTTGTCTATATTGAAAAACTGTTTCTTAGTGGGGCCACTTTCATTATCTTAGCTAGATTTTCTGAATAATTTGCTGCAGCTTTTCCATCTGCACTCAATGCTTCACCTTGAACTCTTATGTTATAGAGATGGCTTCTTTTCTCAAACCTCATAAGCCAACCTCTTCTAGTTTCAAACTTTTCTTCTGCAGCTCCTTCACCTCTCTCAGACTTCACAGAATCCAAGAGATTTAAGGCCTTGCTCTTAGGTTTTGACTTAAGGGAATGTTGTGGCTTAACTTCTGGATAGAAGTTGATCTTTCCAGACCACTCAAACTTTCCCTGTATCAGCAATAAGGCTGTTTTCACTTTCTTATCATTTGCGTGTCCACTGAAGTAGCACTTTTAATTTCCATCAAGGACTCTTCCTTTGTACTCACAACTTGGCTAACCATTTGGTGCAAGAGAACTAGCCTTTGGCCTATCTTGGCTTTCAACATGCCTTCCTCACTAAGCTTAATCATTTCTAGCATTTGATTAAAAGTGAGAGACATGTGACTCTTCCTTTCATTTAAACACTTAGAGACCACTGTAGGGTTACTAGTTGGCCTAATTTCAATATTGTGTCCCAGGGAATAGGGAGGGTGAAGGAGAGGGAGATAGGTGAGGGAACATGGTTCTGTCCTTAACAACTGGACAGTTTGGTCACTGATTTAGACTATTTCTTTCTAAAGTAAGCATTAAGACTATAAATTTCTCTCAAAATATTTTCTGTGTCCTATGTTTTGATATTTTTATTCTCATCCATTTCTAAGTATTTAATAATTTCCATTATAATTTCTTTTTTTGGCTGAATCATTTTCAAATGCACTTTAAACAATTTACAGATATATAGAGTTTTAAAAATTTTATCCTTTATTAACAAGTTCTAATTTATTGGAATTGGAATTGTGGTCAGAGAATACATTCTGTTTGATATTGATCCTTTGAAATGTATTGAGTCTTGTTTTACAACCTAGTGGCGTGTCCTATGTCCCATTCTATTCCTACATGGAGGAATTTTTAAGATGGGGAGACAGGCCCTATCTCCCACTATAGAAACAGAAGGGGCCCTTATTTACTCTTTGGTACAATAAGGGTATATGTGTTAAGCTTAGCTAATAATATTCCCTTGTCTTTGGCTTTGAATTATGCGGGAATGGGGTCAGTTCAAGATTTTTCCCAGCCAATATGGAGGAGTTGGGAGCCCAATGGTATGACAGCAAGAATCCAGTAGTAGCAATATCAGTTCCTGTCCTCTACTCTAATAACTGCGTCCCTTGGTTTTCTGACAGAGATTCCTTCTCCACTCTTCCAGTTGATTCTCTGAGTTATTGATATCTTGTCAATTCATTCCTTTTCTGTTTAATTAAACCAAAGTCAGTCTCTATTGCTTAAAACTGAGGACTCTGGCAACTATCAAGAGGTAATACTTCTGAGGTGATTATAGTGTATGGATTTTTGTTTTATTTCACTTAGTTGGCATTATTTATTTTCCTTATATAACAGATGAAGAGACTCAGGCTTTAGGAGTTTAAATAGCTTGTCCAGTGCCACACAGTTTGTCAATGGTAGAGCCAGGGTGCAAGCCAGCTCTGCCCGATTCTTGAACCACTACCCTTAACCCTTCCATATATTCATTCATTTTTTTTTTTCCTGACTCTAACGTTCTATAAGCTGAAAGCATCAAATAGATTGCCAAGTGTAAGCAAGGGGTAGCTTAGGTACTGAGAGGTCAAAGAGTAGATGTTACAAATATTCATACCTTCTTACATTTTAATGGGAAAAAGTACTTCTTTCAAGCTTTTTATTTAATACATGCCGTGAGATGAATTTTTAGAAACTGACCTTCTCCTTCCCACTTATTTCCCCCTCTCTGCCCCAACTCTGCAAATTTGCCACACGTGCCTTGGCAGCATAAACAAGCATCACACAGAGGGACTGGTGACTTAACATACTTCATCATCTCCCTGGCCTAACAGAAGGGTCCTTTTAGGTCATGGGCCCCTTTTCCTCCGGTAGGTTTATTGACAGTTTGTGTGTTCATGCTCATTAAGTAACTTCTAGCAACCTTGGCTAAATAAATTGGTAAAAGGCTGAACTCATAGTCAACATTGCTTCATAACACACACATGCAGAGCTCATAATATATGTGACAGTTGACTCACTTAAATCACCCAATTAATTTTTTGTAGTCTTGTATAAATATAATAAAGTAGCTATAGAAATGAAAGATGTTTTAAAGTTAAATTTGACTCCACTGAACTCATAGAATCAGAGTTAACTTATATTTTATTTTAGATGATTTTACAGAAAGTTGTTTTAAAGGCAAAATATTCTTGAAAGATTGAAGTTATTTCTGCCCCCATTTTTTTTTAAATTGCTTTCATGAAAAGCCTACTGATTTTATAATCTATTAATTTGCAGTGGAAAACTACTCTTTTGTTGATGTAGAAAGTTTACTCTACCAATAATGCACATATATGTATATAACTCTTAACCTCATCTTAAATATGTTTGGTGTTAAATCACCCATTACCAGCATTTAAAGTTATGTCTTGGCTTTTCTCACTAGCAGAATACTTTAGTGCCTTAAGTGGTACATTCACACTCAAGTGGAATAGAACTGTGAGGACCCTTTGGCAAGAAGTAACGTAGGTAAGTGCTAATTGTTAGTATTTGTCTCTCTTCTTGCCAATGGAGATGAGCCATTGTGCCACAGCAATTCAAATTCTATTAGAAGAGAGAAATTAATAGGGTCCCACAAATGGTGGCCAGGTGCACAAATCAAATTAAACTCTTCTCTGTCAACAGGGATTGTTGTTGTTTTTTTCTTTTTGTTTTTGTTTTTGTTTTTTTAAGAGGAGTAGAAGGAGAATATAGGGCTAAGGGCGAACTGTTAATTTCAGCTGTCACATACCAGTTGAATTATTCTGGTAAAAATAATAGTGTTTTTCATGTGACTTAAAAAGCCATGAAAATTAGGCACACAGAATATAAATCTGTACAAATACGAGAAGTGTCACAGAAGTGACCTAGGGAAATCCATTTTGGGATGAAAACCAAGAATTCCTCATCCTTGGTATTTCTGTTGTTATTTTCTGAGACTAAAGAGACAATTTATGGGACTTGTCTCTAGCATGGCTTATGCATCTTAAATGTGTAGGAAATTAAGTAGAAAAAGATAGGGAGTGGATATGCAAAAAAGGGATCTCGATCGTCCTTTAATTTTTTTTTCATTAACTATGGCCTCTGAAGGGAATCTGATTGCTTATTGATTGTTTCACTCTGGCTCAGACTCTGTTTATGGCAGACAAATGAAATAATAGATTGGCCATTCTTTGGCTGATGTCAGCAGCCAAATTAATCAAACTGAAGGAGGAGTAGCAAAGATTGCTGATACAGTTATATGGAAATAACTGAAGAAGAAAAGAGAGGTGCAATTGTCCACCTAACTTGTTTCATGGTTCAAGCTGAGTACATTGACTTGATATGTTATGTGACATATTTATAGCTAAAATCCCTAAATTAGCCAATTGTGGACCTACGTCTCCAATGTTCTTTCCATGTTCCATTTTCTTTCCATCATATGCCACTGATAATTCATGTGACTGAGTTGGGTGACTTGATTAGCAAAATGTGCCTCTTCTCTGAGTTTTTTTAACTTTCTCAAAAAGCTACCATTTCTTTAAAATTACTGTTTCCTAATTAATGGTAAATAAAAGTAATGCTCTCTGAGCAATCAGGAATTTAAAAATACCTTTATCTCTACATTTTCCTCCCTCCATCTGCTGCTATTTATTATTATTTAAGTTTTAATGTTTTGGCATTACAACTGGTTATTTCAAAAGCATTTCTCTCTAAGATTTAATCATAACTCATAGTTGAAAGATATATTAAGGCATGATAATATCTATTTTCCTCAACCATTAATGCTTTACATAAACAGACTATTTAAAATCCTGATATTCATTTGTTTTCTTTTTCTGAGTCATAAACAGCATGGACTAGTTTATCAGAATATTTACTGCATTAACATTCTCTTTCTCTAGATTCTCTTCCCTGGGATGATACTGAGATCATTGCCCTCAAACCCAGTCTTCCATATTCTAAGAGGACACTGTCAATGACTCAGATAGTGGGATTCTGTTGGGGCTCTTTGTGTTTCCTGTATGGATTAGATGAAGATGGAAGGTTCTTTGGAGAAATTACTTGAGAAGAAAGAGCACTTTTCCTCCATTGCTATTTAACTTAGGATTTTTATCCATAAGTCCATACTTTTGGATCAGACAATGAGCTGATAGATCTCCCTCTGTCACTGTCTCTGTCTCTGTCTGTCTGTCTCTCTCTCTCTCTATGTGTATGTGTGTGTATGTGTATACACACATACATATTAAAATCTATAATATATTATATGTTAATATAACCTTAATATATTAAATACATAGCATAAATAAAATGTTTATATATCAAATATATACTCTAATATAGATATGAGTGTGTGTGTATCATTCAAATAATATCCATAAACAAATTTTGTTTACATACATCTGTTTTTTTCACTTTTGAAAAAGTGTAAATTACGGTATTCCTTTAGTGTTTCAGGTTAAATCTTTTATATGCTAGGCAATTTTCTAGGCACTAGGGATACAGCAGCAGCAGTAACAACAACAAAAATCCCCAAACTAAAAACCAAGCAAGCAAAAAAAAAACCCCAAAAAACAAAACAAAAAACCCAAACTTGTCATTCCAGATTCTATGAATATTCTATGAGAAGAGAACAGACAATAAACAAATAACCAGGTACATGGATACTGTGTCAGTTGCTGATAAGTGCTGTGAAAGGGGAAAAAAATAGGGTATGGAGAATGAGAGGTGTGTGTTGATTTCTATTTTATGTTGTGTTGCATGCGAGGTAGCTTTTGACCAGAGTACTGTTAGAGAGTAAATGGTTTATTCAATACGTTCTAAATAGAATGACTAGCAGGTGTGAAGTCTCTGAGATGAGATCTTGCTTAGCATATAGAGGAACAATAAGCAACTAGTATGACTGGTGTGAAGTGAGCTAAGGGGACTGTAGAGGGGATGAGGATAAAGAAGTATCAAGGGCTAGATTCACAGGCCTTTTTAGGCTCATAGGACTGAGTTAAATTTTTTTATGCTTAATGAGATGGGAAACCAGTGAGAGTGACATGATGTGACTTAAATTTTAAGACATACTGGCTGGCAGTCGTAGGGGAAAAGCAGTGATATCATTATCGAGGTTCTCAATTTGAGAGACCATCGTTCATAAAAATACTCTCTGAGGTCTATATCTCTTTTGTGTGTGCAAGAAAGCAAGAACAAAAGTTTTAGGTATGATATAGAAGTTAAGTAGTTTTTTGTTCTCATTTGGACTTCTCTTGCTGATTTCTCACTATAGGTGGTGAAGATGAAGCATGTTGGTTCATAAATGAGGCTTGAATATGGATTGAATCAGGATTGAATAACTAAAGTTTTTGTATGTCTTCATAGTTTGCCACCATACAGAGTTAGGCACTCTAGAAAATGTGTCCAAAAGTACAAAATCAGGGAGTGAAATAGTTGTCCAAGCCATTCCCCCTATTTAATTTTCTAGTCTAAACTACTACTGAGCACAAACTGAATTTAATTTTGCATGAATCCTTTTCCATGATCACTCTTAAACTATAAACACAGAAAAAAATACTAGATATAATACCATACGAACTAAGAAAACACATAGCCAAACACAGAGAAAAGGAAATCTCTAAATCCAAATGCCAGAAACTAACAGATAACTCAAATCCAAAAGGAACCTTGAAGTGATGCTCAGAGGACTATCAGATATAGCCTAGAGTCCCTTGAGGACAGGCCATTAGAAGAGAAATCCTTGCAGACAGACCTAGGCAAGAACAACAACAACAAAATGTTGCTGATTTGTTCTGGACAAAATTATAAATAATTTCATGAGAGAAAAATCAAGAACCTAAGTCTGCACCAAAAGCAAGTATGTGGTCAAAATTTATAGTCAATGCATAAAGTAGGAATAACAGTCTTTGAAATTAATTTTAAAAACTTATCTGAGACCAGAAGAATACACTGGACTGTGAGGCTTAAGGAAACAAACAAAAAAACTCAGTCACTCTATAAAATAATTCTACACCCCTGGATACATGGGACAAAGGAAAGAAAGAAATTACTCACTAAAGATGAGAGAACGAGAGAGAATATGATTATAAGATACTAAGTAATATTAATTTCAGGTGTACAATATAGTGATTCATCACTTCCATACAGCACCCAGTGCTAATCACAAGTGCACTCCTTAATCCCCATTACCTATTTCACCCATCACCCCACAGACCTCCCCTCTGGTAACCATCAGTGTGTTCTCTGTAGTTAAGAGTCTGTTTCTTGGTTTGCCTCTCTCTCTTTTCCCCCTTTGCTCATTTGTTTTGTTTCTTAAATTCCACATATGAGTGAAATCATGTTGTATTTGTCTTTCTCTGACTGACTTACTTCGTTTAGCATAATACTCTCTAGCTCCATCCATGTCATTGCAAATGCCAAGATTTCATTCTTTTTTATGCCTGAGTAATATTCCATTTTATGTGTGTATATGTGTATGCATGTGTGTGTGTGTAAATATTTACCACATCTTTCTTATCCATTCATCATTCAATAGACACTTCCGATGTTTTCCAGGAATGGGAGAAGATATTTGCAAATGTGTATCTGATAAAGGGTTAGTATCCAAAATATATAAAGAACTTATAAAATCCAACACCCCAAAAATGAATAAGCCAGTTAAAGAATGGGCAGAACACATGAATAGACATTTTCCAAAGAAGACATACAGATGGACAACAGACATGAAAAGAATCTCAACATCACTTGGCATCAGGGAGATACAAATCAAAACCACAATGAAATATCACCTCACACCTGTCAGAATGGCAGCTAAAATCAGCAACACAAGAAGCAAGTGTGGCGAGGATGTGGAGAAAGGGGAACCCTCTTACACTGTTTGTGGGAATGCAAACTGGTGCAGCCACTCTGGAAAACAGTATGGAGTTCCCTCAAAAATTTAAAAATAGAACTACCTTATGATCCAGCAATTGCACAGCTAAGTATTTACCCAAAGGATACAGAGAACTAATTCAAAGGAATACATGCACCCTAATAATTTATAGCAGCATTATCTACAATAGCCAAATTATGGATTTCTGTACTTCAAATGGATGCATTCTATGATATGTGAATTATATCTCCATAAATCTGTGGAAAAAGTTAGTAATTAAATACTAGGCATAAACATGGAAGCTTTTGGGAGAAAGATTTTATTAAAAAATTTGTTTTTTATGTTGCTCAAGAAAATTAATATTGGTTAATTAGGCTGTTAATTTAAGCCTCTATGCTAAAATTTTGAGAGCAACAACTAAAGAATAGAAACAAGATATTTAACATAAACCTGTAGCAGGAGGAAAGGAAATGACTAGATCTGAATTAGTAGAAGGTAGAAAAGAGAAAACAAAAAATGAAAAACAACATAAATCCCAAAATATAAGTAATTACAAAACATGTAAATCATCTAAACTTGTCTTTTAAAAATTTTGATATTGAATGAATAAGAAAGAATATTTTCTAGAAGAGACATTTCTAAAGTATACCGTAGGTGCAGAGAAGCTGAAGATGGAAGGGTACAAAAGAAATCTCTCAGGTAAATGTTCATTAAAAGAAAGCTGGTGTAGCAATATTAATATCAGACAAGATATGATATTCAAGGCTTAAAGCATTCTCACTTTCATTACTTAGTTATAAAAGTGATGTTTTTCTAGGAAAATAGGATAATTTTCAATATCTAGAAATAGTCAAAAAAAGTGTCCATAAATAATAGGTAAAACCATTAAAAAGAATACAGTAAGAGATTTGAACTCAACTTTCTCAGAAACTGATAAACCAAATAAAAATTAGTAAAATTAGAACATATTTGAACAACCACTCCAATCTAATGAGCATATAGAGAACCATGTATAATTTGGCAATTCACAGTCTTTTACAGCACCCCTGGGACATTAAAATAAAAATTAAAACAACGAAACATATATTGGAACACAAGGGAAGTCTCCACACATACCAGTCAGTATCTAAGTAGCTATGTATATTGATCACAATGAAATAAACACAGAAATGAGTAAGAGACATAGCCCTATTCCCTCATCTATGTTTCAACACCAGAAGACACAAGTCTAAATAACTTATGGGTGAAAATAAATCATAAGGGCGATTGTACAGCATTTAATACTGAATGCGAGTGAAAACACTGTATGCCCAAACGCTACCGCTAAAGCAAGGTATTGGTGACCAGTTATATCCTTAGGTATTTATGTTAGAAAAGAAGGTATACTGAAAAGAAGTTACAATTCACTTCAAGTATAAACAAGAATTAAAATTAAAATGGAGTAAATTCTCATAAAGTAGAAGGAAGGTGAAATAACTTCATTTGATTAGATTATTGGCATCAATAGTCTCTCAGATAATTTAGGAAATAACATATACACAGGACATTGGGCATTCTCCATTTCTTCTCAATCTTCCTTATCACCCACAGGGAAAAAAGTCATACTTTATGGCTGATATTACATGTGGAAAAATAAAAGAAGCCTAAAAAGACCAAATTATTGCCCAAAGTCAAGAAGATAATACCAGAAATTGATGCAATTACTGCTATCAATGCCATTGCAATTACTTCTTCTTTAAAAAATGGGCTTGGAAAAAAAATACTGGGCTTGGGCACCTGCGTGGCTCAGTCAGTTGAGCGTCCGACTCTTCATTTCAGCTCAGGTCATGATCTCAGGGTCCTAGGATCAAGCCCCGAGTCAGGCTCCATACTGGACATGGAGCCTGCTTGAGATTCTCTCTCTCCCTCTGCCCCTCCTCCCGCCTCAAAAAACAAACAAATAAATTAATAAAATAAAACTTGGGCTTAATATTGATAAATTGATTTTTAAAGATCAGTTTCTTTAATGCATTATAATGAACAATATTTGAAATAGTATAAATAATAATTACATTGAGAAAAACAAACATCATGCTGTGAGGCAGAGCTCAATGCAGCCTGTAATAAGCTTTGTTTAGCGTTATAAAATCTATGAAAATTTTTACATAGGATATATAAAATAGTTTGAGTAATTATTAAATTTTTTGAGCTTGGTCATTGA